CCCTGTGCATGTTAGCCCATATTCATTCAAGTAAGATCGATGGATCAATGCGCGACATCATCAAGGAACATCTACACAAAGACCCATCGGCCAAAGCTGTCGTCGAACTAGTTAAAGCTGGAAAAACACGACAGTTTTGGGTTGAGGGGGACCTCCTGATAACCAAAGGAAACAGATTGTATGTCCCAAGAACGGGGGAACTGAGGAAGAAGCTCATTCAGGAATGTCATGATATCTTATGGGCCGGACACCCTGGGTGGCAAAGAACATACGCCCTAATAAAGAAGGGGTACTTCTGGCCAAACATGCGAGACGACATCATGCAATACACCAAGACGTGTCTCATCTGCCAACAGGATAAGGTCGAGAAAGCCAAGGTCTCTGGACTCTTGGAACCTCTACCTGTGCCAACAAAACCCTGGGAAAGTGTATCTCTGGACTTCATAACACACCTCCCAAAAGTCGGGGAATACGACGCCATCTTGGTTATTGTAGACCGGTTCTCAAAATATGCGACATTCATCCCCACTCCCAAATTATGCTCGGCAGAACTCACAGCCCAACTGTTTTTCAAACACGTTGTAAAGCTATGGGGCATTCCGTCGAGCATCATCAGTGATAGAGATGGCAGATTCATTGGGACATTCTGGACTGAGTTATTCGCTTTCTTGGGAACAACCTTAAACATTTCCTCGAGTTATCACCCTCAAACCGATGGACAGACAGAACGGTTCAATTGCTTGCTCGAAGAATACTTACGTCACTTCGTCGACGCTCGCCAAAAGAACTGGATACAATTGTTAGATGTCGCCCAATTTTGCTTCAACTGTCAAACAAGCTCGTCTACAGGGAAGAGTCCCTTCGAAATTGTAAGTGGACGACAACCGGCCTTACCCCATATTATTGATCACCCTTATGCGGGAAAAAACCCTCAAGCTCACAACTTTACAAGAGAATGGAAGCAGACGACAGATATAGCCCGAGCATATTTAGAGAAGACTTCCAAGCATATGAAGAAATGGGCGGACAAGAAGCGTCGCCCCCTGCAATTCCGGGCAGGAGATCAAGTCCTTATCAAGCTGAGACCAGAACAGATCAGATTTCGTAGCCGAAAGGACCAGAGACTAGTTCGAAAATATGAAGGCCCGGTTGAAGTCCTTAAAAAGATCGGGGCTACCTCCTACCGAGTTGCACTACCCGCATGGATGAAAATTCACCCCGTCATTCATGTGAGCAACTTGAAACCCTATCACCCTGATCCAGACGACGACCAACGAAATGCAACAACAAGACCGAGCATCGATCTGAAGCAGAAAGAAACAAAAGAAGTAGAAGAGATCCTAGCCGACAGGGTTAGGAAGATAGGAAGACCTGTACGGATAATTCGTGAATTCCTGGTCAAATGAAAGAATCTCCCTACAGAGGAAACCAGTTGAGAACGCGCCGAAGATCTGAACTCTGCCGCTACCCACATTGCAAGGTTTGAAAGTAGTCGGTTGACGGGGTCGTCAACCAATTAGGTGGGGGAGGATGTCACGGTCATGCTCGTCCAGGGCATGTCGCCCATGGCCGCATGCCCATGACAAGCCAAACCCTTGTCATGTCTTTTCATTCTAGTATTTTTTTCTTTGTAATTCTAAGGCGTATGACGCCTCAAAAATATCATGTCTAAGCCTGCCAGACTTAAAATGGCTCAGAATGTACTATAGGAGGATATGACTAGTTGTCAACTTCTCCCTACCCAAGGTTATATATGCTAAGCCGTTGTTATCTTTCTCTTGCTTGCTTATATAACGTTTCTTTCCAAAATCTCTCTTTCTAAAATCTCTCTCTCTCCTCGTTTTCTAAAACCTTCTTTTAAAACCGAGGCTAGAGGCTCGATCGTACGTCGCTTGGCCGTAGGCGACGCAAGAACAAATTGGCTTAAGCTCACTTGTCGCTGGAAAATGAGTGCCGCACAATCGCTAGTCCGCTGCCTTCGAAAGCGCGATTGTGTCACCTAGCGTCCTTGCTATCACATCGCTCGGTGTCTGACTCTGATACCACTTGTAACAGCCTAAGCCCACCGCTAGCAGATATTGTCCACTTTGGCTTGTTACTTATCGCCATCAGCCTTACGATTTTAAAACGTGTATGTTACGGAGAGGTTTCTACACCCTTGTAAGGAATGCTCCGTTCCCCTCTCCAACCGATATGGGATCTCACAAATAACTTTTGCGTCTCGTTGCAAAGTGAGCTAATTAAATCTGCGAAAGAGAAACAACCATTTGTATAAAAATCATGCATGTCGGAAATATATGTACATCTTTTTCTGTTTTGAACTCTTGTTGTCCTTAGCATATTATTGTGTGATTGACAATGTGTTATTTGGTGTAGCCAATGGATCAAACAAGACCACAGACCAAGATCTTCTTTCGAATCTTATACGGATCCTTGCCTGTCAATCCGGTGAGCACGGCAGTAAAAACCGATCTGGGATTCTGCATGAACCTCAGAATTTGCTGAACGGGGCTAAATCCGATCTAGTTTGTACTTTTCTCTCAAATGGTCCTCAGGTACCTTTGAGATCTTCTAAACAACCTGACACGATACCGATATCCGAGACACCAATACAAGCAACTGTTCGAGGTGGAGATACACCAGCTATATCTTCTGTAAAACCAAGCACTTCAAACAGCCCTCCCGCGTATTCAGAAATCAGGGACAATACGGTTGGACAGTGCAAAATGATGAACTTTGATTTGAACGATGTTTATGTCGACTCGGACGATGGCATGGAAGACACTGAGAGACAAGCACGCCCAGTAGTGCATATGGGAACAAGTTCTCTTGAATGTCCTTCTTGGGTGCAACAAGACTCTCATCAGTCAAGCCCTCCTCAAACTAGTGGAAATTCAGATTCAGCATCTGCCCAGTCACCTTCTAGCTCTGCTGGAGAAGCTCAGGTAATGTTCTGCAAAAACTACAGATCATTTCTTTATGGGATTCATTTCTTGTATGCATTACCACATTTTTTTGTACATTCCTCCAGAGCCGTACAGATCGGATCATTTTGAAATTGTTTGGGAAAGCACCAAATGATTTTCCTCACGTTTTACGAGCTCAGGTATGTGAAATGTCGAAACCGAGCATTTGAAACCGTTCGATATCACCGTCCTTAATCGTCACGACATTCTCTTTAGGTTCTCAATTGGTTATCACATAGTCCCACAGAGATAGAGAGCTATATCAGGCCTGGTTGTGTTGTTCTAACAATATACCTACGACAGACTGAGGCTACATGGAATGATGTAAGTTTGCGTGCTCACTTGTCGATCCTGATAAGATTTCGGGATGCCTCTCTCGAGCTATTACAAATACCCTATTCTTGATGGTTTGTAATCTCTTTACTTCAGCTTTGCCATGACCTCGGTACCAGTTTGAATAGGCTTCTTGATGTTTCCGATGAAGCTTTCTGGAGAACTGGATGGGTTTACGTTCGGGTTCAGCATCAAATAGCTTTTGTTTATCATGGTCTGATTATCTCTAGTTTAAGAGGAGCTTTAATTGTTGTCTTTTGTTTAACATCGAGTTCATTTTTTATGCTGCAGGTCAGGTCGTAGTCGACACATCCTTGCCTCTTAGAAACAAGAATTACTGTCGTATCACAAGCGTAAACCCCGTTGCCGTTTCTTTATCTAAGAAGGCTACATTTTCGGTTAAAGGAATAAACTTAACCCGATCGACAACTAGGTAACATCGTCTTTTCATCTAACTTTCCTCACTTTTTACTTGTATCAGTCTCATATATGCAAATTTCAAACTCAATTTCCAGGTTACTGTGTGCCATTGAAGGGACATATCTTACTCAGGAAGCTTCAGATGATTCAACAGAAAGTGATGATAACTCGAACGCACGAGACGACAGCCAATGCGTAACCTTTTCTTGCTCGATTCCTGTCGTCTGTGGAAGGGGATTCATCGAGGTGCAGTTTTTTTTTACGTTCTTCTTACGATACATCTTTACATTAGCCAAGAACTTCGACCGATCGAACTTCTTTTTGTGGGGGTGGGTTGGGATAATATCCAGGCTGAAGATGATGGTTTGAGCAGCAGTTCCTTTCCTTTTATAGTTGCAGAAGAGGATGTTTGTACAGAGATCTGCACACTTCAAAGTGCTTTAGAATTTACTGAAATATGTTCAAATTCTGGGGAAGCTACGGAGCTGGAAGGAAGGAGTCATGCAATGGAGTTCATCCATGAAATTGGTTGGCTGTTTCATAGAAATCACTTGAAGTCTAGATTAGGTAACTTGGATCCTAACGAAAATGTCTTTTCGCTGTCACGGTTCAAGTGGCTCGTCGAGTTCTCTATGGACCATGATTGGTGTGCTGTGGTTAAAAAGCTCTTAGATGTCCTTCTTGATGGGACTGTGGACTTTGGAGATCACCCGTCGTTGAATTTTGCATTGACCGAAATGAGTCTACTTCACCGAGCAGTGAGAAAAAACAGTCGGTCGTTGGTCGAGCTCCTTTTGGGTTACTCTTCAAAAGTGATGGACTCATCAAGTTCTGATGGATCGACCGGTAGCTTCCTGTTTAGACCTGATGTCGTTGGCCCAGCCGGGTTGACCCCTCTTCACATTGCAGCTGGTAAAGATGATTCCATGGATGTTCTTGATGCGTTAACGAATGATCCGGGAATGGTAATGTTTATAATAGTACGCTTTCTGATACATTAGCTTTAGGACAATGAGACTGAAGAAATGACTGGGTTATTACAGGTAGGAGTTGAGGCTTGGAAGAGTGCTCGAGACGTCACAGGCTCGACACCTGAGGATTACGCTCGTTTGCGTGGCCATTACTCGTATATTCGTCTCGTCCAGAGGAAAATCAACAAGAGATCTTCAGCTGGGCATGTGGTGCTGGACATTCCTAGTACTGTCTCAGATGGTAGCTGGAACCAGAAGCAGAACACTGATGTGATGACCTCCTCCAGGTTTGAGATTGGTAGGACAAAACTAAATCATTCTCAGCAGGATTGCAGCCGTTGTGTTATGAAACCGAGCTGTTTCGGAACGTCGTCTAAAGCGTCTCTGGTCTACCGGCCTGCAATGCTTTCAATGGTGGCCATTGCTGCTGTGTGTGTGTGTGTGGCGCTCTTATTCAAAAGCTCGCCCGAGGTTCTCTATGTCTTCGGCCCGTTCCGATGGGAACTACTAGAATACGGTACTAGTTAGACCTGTCGATTACTTATCTATCTACCTGACTAAACTAAAGGTAATGTATTTGTATGGAGTTATGAAACCTGTAATGAGTTCCAGATTGGTATACTTTATTCTTATGTTATCGAGTTTCGCTAAACTCGACCATCTGACCGCGTGTGCACGTGTGACTGCTCTGTAAATTTTAGTTCCCAGACACGGCAGGTAGAGAGTGTGTTCACTGGACAACGATCACTCAACACTTGACTCGAACCGTGGAGCGTCCAAAACGGTTTCGTATTCTTTTCATGTATACTTTCTAGTTCATGTAACACATCTCATTTTCGAGCTGGTTTTTAGCTTCATTGTCCTGTCATGTTTCCAGTAGAGTGAACATTATTTATTGAAACAGTGACAGATTCTGAGCTTCAAGCATAGAATAAGCATAGAATCTCAATTATTACGTTATACTCGTTATTCGTCACATCTGACTAATCAAATAATATTTATTTGATAGATGTTCGTTATTTGTTAACTATGACCATAATAGATGCTCGTTATGATTTGTAGACGGGAAAATTCAAATCCAATTTTTTTTTTTAATAAATTGAAAGAAAATAATGCAAAAATAACTAAGGTTTTCTTTTGAAAGTAACATAGGGTTAAAATAGTAATTTAATAATGTTATTTACAAATTTTTAAATTGAAATTTAGTTTGAATTTCTCTAGAAATTAAAAGAAAAAAAAAACTATTCCATTGGACAAATTGTTCATTTGTCGGCGGATAGTCAAAAGGTCCAAAATGCCATTGCCATCTTGCAAATTTGGAGATTGATCAAGGTTAGTTTAGTAATTTGGTTCTTTGACTTGTGGTCCATAATTTATTCTTTATTATAGATAGTTTCTATTAAATTACAAATGTGGTCCTTATAATTTAGAGAAATTTGAATTTAGCCCCAATATTTTGATAAAATCAAATTTAAATAATAAAAAAATAAGTAAGTAGTTTAAAAAATAGGAAAATAATTAATATTATCTTCTATTATTCAAAGGTTTGAAGAAACTGAAGGGACAAAATGGTCCAAATCTGAGCTTCCAAGACTTCCGGTAGATGAATGAAATAGACACTGACTAGGGTTGGTGATGACCGGCATCTGCCGGTAAAACCTAAACACCTCCTCCTTTCACCAACCCCAACCAATTCTAATCACCCATTATTTTCTCCACTCCAATAATTTATTACTTTTTTTTTTAAGCATTACTGCCAATATTTAACGCTCCATATCCAAGATTCAAAATTTAGAATCGGTATCTAATGATACCGACATTCCTCCCCTGTGACATGGTCACGTTGCTTACAACTCGTTTCTAAGAGTGAAGACTATCCTCACAGACTAATACGAGACCTTTCAGTATGCTTTAATGTCACTTACATGTTACATTGGAAAATTCTTACGAGGTCACTCAAGGTAGAATTGTTTCAAACGCTAAATTTTGGAGTTCTTATAATTGAGACACTAAAAATGAAGGTAAACCTTAAAAATGTATAGTTTTTGTCCGTGGGTTTTTTTTGTAATCTTTTTTTTCTAAATAAAAATTTTGAGGGAGAGAATGGATTATAAATATTTTTAAGGTTAAATTAAAATTTTGATGCTTATAATTTATAAAAAAAAATTACAATTTTGCCCTTATCATAATTAAAACTTAAAAATCAAAATTAAAATTTGGATAAGGAAATTTAATTAATTGAAAACAAAATAATTATCCTGATTAAAGCAACGAACCAAATGCTGTGTTTGAAGGGGAAGATTTTTACGCCAATCTCCGGAAAAGGATAATTCCGACCGGCTGTATCGGTAACCGGTCGTCAGCGCTATTTCTCTCTATAAATAAGAGCCGCGACTGCTTCGTATCTTCGTGTCATCGAGCGCCGATTCCTCTTCTTTGGGTCTCTTTGCTCTGGAAGTTCGCCTGGTTTTCCTTTTCCAGGTTCATTCTCTCTCTTTAATGGCTTCCTCTGTGTTCGTGTGTGTGTGTGTGTGTGTGTGTGTGAGTTGAGGGAGAAATGGATGTTTCTGCTTTTGAAGTCATTGGGTCTTGTGTTTGTTTGTTCCTACTTTTAGGGTTTCTGAAATTTTGTTCGTTTTGGGTTTCATTGTGTGGGGATGCTGTTGTGTTGTATTTGTTTTTGTCGGAATTTCTCTCGGATCTGACGGCGCTCTAAGAGCTTTTGTTTTTCGGGTTGGTTTTGGAGTGGTTGTCGTTTTTTGTTTTGAAGATCTGGTTCCTGCGAGTGCGTTGCTGATCTGAATTAGTTAATTGAGATTGCAAAAGGAATGTTCGATTGTAATCTTTTTTTAATATTGGTTTCTAGTTTTGGTAAACTCTAGTGTTGTGGATATCTATCTGTTCTTGCGGATTTCAACTTGTTTTCGCTAGTTTTTGTGTTTTGTGAGTATAAACGTTTTCGAATTATAGGATGCTGATTCTTATTCGAGGTGAAATGTTCCTTTGCAAATTGAGAATTTCTAGGATCAGTTCATATGCTTATTCTTTGTTGCTGAGCTCATAAATTCTCTATATTTGAATACTGAAGGAGATTTTTTTGTGTATTCTTTTCCTTGCAGTTTGGGAGAATGGAGACCTTTCTATTTACATCTGAGTCTGTGAACGAGGGTCACCCTGACAAGCTCTGTGACCAGATCTCTGATGCAGTTCTTGATGCTTGCCTTGCCCAAGATCCTGATAGCAAGGTTGCTTGTGAGACCTGCACCAAGACTAACATGGTTATGGTTTTTGGAGAGATTACAACCAAGGCCGATGTTGACTACGAGAAGATAGTCCGAGATACTTGTCGTTCAATTGGGTTCATCTCGGATGATGTGGGCCTTGATGCTGATAACTGTAAGGTCCTTGTCAACATTGAGCAACAGAGCCCTGATATTGCCCAAGGTGTTCATGGACATTTCACTAAGCGACCCGAGGACATTGGTGCTGGTGACCAAGGCCACATGTTTGGCTATGCCACAGATGAGACCCCAGAGCTCATGCCCCTTAGTCATGTCCTTGCAACGAAGCTTGGCGCTCGCCTCACTGAGGTGAGGAAGAATGGTACCTGCCCATGGTTGAGACCTGACGGTAAAACCCAAGTTACTGTAGAGTACTATAATGATAAGGGTGCCATGGTCCCTGTTCGAGTCCACACAGTTCTCATCTCTACTCAGCACGATGAAACCGTGACGAACGATGAGATTGCAGCTGACCTTAAGGAGCATGTGATCAAGCCGGTCATCCCCGAGAAGTACCTTGATGAGAAGACCATCTTCCACCTCAATCCCTCTGGCCGCTTCGTCATCGGTGGACCACACGGAGATGCAGGTCTTACCGGTCGTAAGATCATCATTGACACTTACGGTGGATGGGGAGCTCATGGGGGAGGCGCTTTCTCCGGAAAGGACCCAACCAAAGTGGACAGAAGTGGTGCTTACATTGTTAGGCAGGCAGCGAAGAGCATTGTAGCCAGTGGCCTTGCTCGGAGAGCAATTGTTCAGGTCTCTTATGCCATTGGTGTGCCTGAGCCATTGTCAGTCTTTGTCGACACGTATGGAACTGGGAAGATACCCGACAAGGAGATTCTGAAGATCGTGAAGGAGAACTTCGACTTCAGACCCGGAATGATCACCATCAACCTGGACTTGAAGAGAGGTGGGAATGGCAGATTCTTGAAGACAGCCGCATATGGACACTTCGGAAGGGATGACCCAGATTTCACCTGGGAAGTTGTGAAGCCCCTCAAATGGGAGAAGCCTCAATCTTGAGATGTGGGTTGCTCTGCTCTGTTGAGAACGGCCATGGAAATTGGGAAGCCGAGCTTTGTTACTACTGGATGAATAATGTGTGTGCTGCCCTTATACAATCTAAGGTAGTAGCTGCTAATGTTCTATCTCTTTGTTACTTTTTTTTCTTTTATTTTTGCCCTTTCTTTTGTTGTTGGTTATTTTACGTTGATGATGTATCCTTTTTGTACCAGTTGTTATAATATGAAAGGGGATTCTTTCCAAGTTCAAATTCTCGTTGGTACTGAAAGTAAATGTCTGCGTTGACTGTGACGATAAGTCATATTGGCTGTTTGACCTTTTATTTTGGGCTTAATTTAGTAAGGTGGTGTAACAATAATTAGTAGCGAATCTATAAGGTTCTGATGGTTAAAACTAGGGTTCTTCAGGTTTTTTCCCCATTCTCTCTCCAACGATCTAAATAGAAAAATACTGTGTGCTCTTAGTACTCGGCAAGAATACTGTCATTTTAAGTCACATTTTCTTATAATAATTTTATTTTTGAAATTTTTTGAGTATTACTCTTTTATAGATGCTTCAAAACTATCATTAGATTAGAAGTTGGAGTGTTCGGATAGAAAAACACTTATGTGGATTAAGTTTGAAAGAAACAACATTTACACATCGTTTTGAAATTTTTTTGAAATTTTTTTGAAATATCGAAGGTAATAATATAATTGTAAAGAGAATTGAAGTATTTTTCGGTAATAATATAATTGTAAAGAGAATTGAAGTATTTTCAGGTGGAAAACTTTTATTTTTAATTAAGTACTAATTGAAAAGGTTGTCCAACTTTGGAAAAGGAGGTTCTAAAATTTTCAATAACAATTCTATGTTATGAAATTATAAAATACGTTGGCCTTACCTTGCGAACATGTTATAATCTTGTAAATGTCACAAAACTTCCTTCATACAACTTTCATTCATTTTTAAAATGAAGTGGCGGAATCTTTTAACTTTTTGGTTGAGAGTAAATGTTCTTAACCAATTGAGTTATATTCAAATTGAATAAAACATACTCCATCGAGGAAGAAACTCATCAAGATCAGGGTTCAAAACTCAATTCTCGATCGCCCAAAATAAGATTGCTCCACAGATATGCCTTCAAAGAGCATTCTTGTAGGATAGATTGTTTCTAAACTTCTCATCGTGCCTTATTTGTCGCAAGTGCCACTAACTTGTCAATGTATACAGCCTGTGAATATATCCTTGGTGTCAGCTTGAGGACCACCAAAGGCTTCTTATCATTCACAAGATTAGTATTCTGATCAATCAAACGAATCTATAATGTCCCTTGATTGGCTGAGTGAGATAATGGAGATTATTGATTTCTAGATATCTCCTCATCAACCAATTGGAAGAGGATGAAGAGATCCACAAGGATAGGCTTTGTGGGTCTCACCAGACACTATATAAGAACATTTCATACTTCATTCAATTCATCAATAACTTCAATTCAAAAGCGGGACTTACTTTGGGCTAAAGTTGGTAGGCATGGCAGCCATGGCTCTTTCATCTACCTTCACTGGAAAGGCTGTTCCTTTGAATGCACCAACCGAGCTGTTTTCCTCGGTTCGCAGCAATGGAAGAGTCTCAATGAGGAAGTCTGGAAAGCCAGCTTCTTCCTCAGGCAGCCCATGGTATGGTCCCGACCGTGTTAAGTACCTCGGACCATTCTCTGGTGAGCCTCCATCTTACTTGACAGGAGAATTCCCTGGTGATTATGGTTGGGACACTGCAGGCCTTTCAGCTGACCCTGAGACCTTTGCTAAGAACCGAGAGCTCGAAGTGATTCACAGTAGATGGGCCATGCTTGGGGCTCTTGGATGTGTATTCCCAGAGCTTCTTTCCAGAAATGGAGTCAAGTTTGGTGAAGCAGTATGGTTCAAGGCTGGTTCCCAAATCTTCAGTGAGGGTGGCCTTGACTATCTTGGAAACCCAAGTCTTGTTCATGCACAGAGCATTTTGGCCATTTGGGCATGTCAAGTAGTGCTTATGGGTGCAGTTGAAGGTTACCGTATTGCAGGAGGACCTCTTGGAGAAATTACTGATCCCATCTACCCAGGTGGCAGCTTTGATCCCCTCGGGCTGGCCGATGATCCAGAGGCATTTGCAGAGCTTAAGGTGAAAGAACTTAAGAACGGTCGTCTCGCAATGTTTTCCATGTTCGGGTACTTTGTGCAGGCCATTGTAACAGGAAAAGGTCCTTTGGAAAACCTCGCAGATCACCTTGCTGATCCTGTCAACAACAATGCATGGGCTTATGCTACCAACTTTGTACCTGGGAAGTGAAACCATCGAGTCATGTTTGAACAAGCTTTCAATTTCACTACTTTGAGCGCATAGCCTGTAAACTGTACTATCAAAATATTGAAGATCAGCAATCACTATTATAATCAACAAAACTATCTTGCGCAAATTGCTGCTTTATTGATCCCTTGAAAGTACAGAAAAAACTATAAATCGTTTATATAGAACAGCAGTAAATTGAAGTGAAAAGCCATATGCAGCTCAAAGTTGAACGTGCATCTTATCATTCTCCATGACCATGGCAAATATGACAAAAGGGATAAAAACCTATTAGTCAAATTCTCTTAGCTGTGTAACTATTTGGAGTCATACTATACTCGAACTCAACATTGAGCTACAAATAACTTAATGATACTAAAGCACAGAGAAAATTTTTCTAGTCTTTTCTCTAAGGTCAGACTACTGTTACCGTTATGAAAAGAGACCATATGCAGAATCCTCAGTGTGGAGAGATGAAAAACCATGTTGATAGGCCCCATTAAGATTCATTTAAGGCCATAGAATAATCAAGGGAAGAAAGACAGAGACGGGTGAAGGGCACCCACTGAATAACAACTCTTGAAGGAAAAGGAATGGGCTGGAAGCGCATAGCTGGTCGAGTAATAGAACAGGTGGCTGTCAGCTATTGGCTGAAAAATGTACAAAAGAGTACAGGCCAGGCACAAGGGGTACAGATTTTGTTGGATCATGTGGGCTAAGAGTCTTTCTGATTGTGGGGAGTACCTTGCTAAGGGGTATGTATTATTGTCCTGTAAGAGAATATGTTCCCCCGTAATTGAATGCGCAAGCTATCACATGTCAAGATTATTTCACATCTTCATCTTCTGCCAGTATCAAAGGATGTAGAAAACACAACAACTTGCATGCCTCTTCCAGCTACAGCAATTTGATAATGGTTCCTGAAGAGAAATAAAGATAAGAAACGAGGGTCAAACTAATGTAGTGATACGTTTCATTAGGTAATTGAGTTAAACGTTCCACTAACTTGTCACAGGCCCTAGCATCAATGGCCTCCGGTTCTGGCACAGTAATGATCAAGTATGTATACTCAACCAATTTCCCCTGGGCCTCAAGTTTCCAACACCTGATCCTCTGATCAAGACCAGTAGAAAACACCCAAATCCCATCTGTCCAGACACCTATGCAAGGCAAAGAGATATCAGATCTTTCACTAGTTTGACAATAGTGCTGCAAGAAAGTCTTGTTATAAAGTTTTAAAAAAATGCCGTGTGTGCAAATAAATTTTGGAAAGTTGTGAACGTTTAACCCGAAAGAACACCAGGTTTCAGCATGCTTTTCACAGTATCCTAATATGAATTACTAACCTTCTTGAATGTGTGAAGTGCGCGCATAGGATGATGAAACAAAGTATGAAAAGGCACATCAGATGGGATTGAGTAAATACATTTTCATTTGAGACCAAGAGGTCTGAGACTCTGGATCGACATTTAAAGCAGAATCTAAAAATGGAAAATGATAAAGATTTCTTTTCTTTTACCTTTTATAGCAGAACTGTGAGCTGATGCAATTTTGTGAGACCTGAGGAACCTAATCATATATTTACGATTACAGTCTTCACTGTGAAGAATGAACCTCTTCATACTTTCAGATTCAGATTCCATTATTTCAGAAATAGGGCTTTCAGAGAGAAATGACAAATCAAATGTAAGACATTGAAGTGCTTGATCGTCACCACCACTGATCACATGGTACAAGAAACAATTATTAACACATTCAGCACTGTTTACAGCCGCTACATGGAGACAATTCACGCCAGATTGATGGACATTGGTTAGAACATGAATTGGCCGTATTTCACTCATCTTAGAGGAAGAATTGCCGGAAGTTAGAACTAGTTCAGAAGAAGCACAACAACCAGGTTCTGAGCAAACTGTATCGGCTTCAGATATGTCCACTTTGGATGAGCCTTTGCAAGGAACTTGATCTTGTATACTTAAGATGGTATTGTCTCCATCTTTCTTATTAATCAAATCTTTGCTTGATTGACCTTGGGTCACAGTACTTAAAGATCTCCGCCACCTGCCACCCTGACTTCCTCTTCCTGTACGAGGCCGTTTCTGAAAATCAATGAACATTTCCTGATGAAGAGAAGAGAGACGCTTCATGAATGCTTCAATATTTCCAGTCAGATCCCAAAATGCAATACTTCCATCAGTGGCTCCACTAATGACGATATAAACATTCCCAAACAGAGTTTGTCCAGCTGAAATAAACTTCATTAGAAAATAGTAAAAGAGATTCAAGCTATGAAATACTTGACAAAAAACTAATGCAATACACCAATTCATAATTTTCCCCCTTTTTAGGGACCATGAAACTCTCCATGCAACTGAACCATTCTTAATTCTTTCAAGACAGCAGTATGGTCGACCTGTCAGCAGTGTGTAATAAATATGAATAATAGGGTGGTGCTGTGATATTAAAGAACTGTGGTTTGGAGTTCCAAACATAAGAAATATGACTATACTATGATCAGCCCACCAAATAATGGAGCAAGCAGGCCATTTGGCTCACGTTTTAGCTAAAAATAACATGTCAGTTGAGAAGCAAAAGGGAAGGAAGGGGTTCCGGTTTTAAAATCCAAATGATACACTGGGTATGCTTTATGTTGAGTAATTAAAAAATAATAATGCTTCAGGAATAGAGTCGGCCAAATTAAGACTTGAACGACAGAAATTCTAGCATGACTTTTTCCAACTACAACACAAAATGGGAAAGTGAAATAGACACACCTCCATTAGGGTGAAATTTTGGAACAACTACGTGCTGTAGCGTCAAAACTGGTGATCCTACAGGAACCAGTGAAGCAACATCAAACCTGCAGAAAAACTAATTAGGAAAACGTCTGTGAAATATAAGCACACAATAAGTTGCATTGTTAGTTAATCGTTTTTCTCATAT